ACAGGAGGGGAAATACTACTGGTATAGGTATCCTTGGCCTGTAGGCAGAGAGGACCTGCATGTCCTACATAGTCGTAGACTCAGATAGGAAAATTAAAGGAAAAAAAAGGTGTACAGTGCTTATATCTTTTTTTGTTACTTAAAGGATCATTGATATATTACCCGTGACGAATAGCCATTTAGTTCAGTATTTACCTGTGAAATCCAGCCACCTTTTCGTGGAACCTTCTACCAAAAAACCAAAAACAAACAAACAATGGAAACTGCTATGTATCCAGATCGCACGATCCTAATGGGGCGGCTCGTGCAATGATGGAGATCTGCGGTCGACCCCTACTTATGTAATCTCTTTAGCGTAATTGTATTCATAGGGAGTTTTTAGGTCAGAAAGCAACGAACAACATACATCTGATTTAACTACTTACCAGGCATTCTGTGATACTTATTACAGGTGTGCTTTTAGTCCCTTAGTCAACCGTAATCCACATTTAAACCGTACGCACACTGCGTGCGCGGGAAAAAGTCTCAAAAAACCTGCAGCCTCAGCCAGGCGAGGCCTAGACACAGGGACCACATGAGGTGCGCATATTCATCTATATCTCCCTTCTTTGTAACATTCGAGGCCGACTTGACCCAATCCGCCATCTCCGTATAGGGTGCTGGGTACGCACCGGAAACTCATCGGATGGCTTTTCCTCCATGATCAAGGGTTGCTGATGAGTAGGGCTCCGACCCTACCATCTGATCTGATCGTGGTTAGCTTCATGATAATGGTGATAGGGGAATGTGTTGAGAGATGAAGACGATATAGACGGCGAAAGAGATTGAGAATCCTCGTCGAAGTGAGGACTTTGTTACTCAAACTCGGCTCTGCAGACTCCACAGTGAGAGCTGGAGGTTCGTAGGGGACACTACTGACAGGTGTTGAGAATAGTTCCCCTTGAAGGTCGCTTTGTGTGCCCATAGAAGATCAACGCAGGTATCCAGAGGAATTTTATTAATTTAAATTGCTTGTAATTAGATGGCCGATTTCAATATGTTACCGTCCAGAAATAGATTCCCCATGATATACATGTCCCAGATATGCATATCATAATTCCCACACCATCGAGTCTATGTCATTCCGTTAAAAATCCATGACACCTTGTTAATGGATTGTTCTCAAGTTCAAGGATATGGACTTTCATGAAATACTGTCATGCATAAACCTACACAGAGCTGAAATCTTTTGGTAGATTGTCATGGGTCTCGGGTTAGCATCGAGTGTGTGGGTTATATTTTTGGACTACTAAAATTCATGTCTGAGCGCAGCATGTATTTTGGTATGTCACGTGTCTCGTGATACAATGCAGAAGAAAGCTACCCTTTATGCCGGTGGTCGGGGATGCAGCCTTTATGTTGAAGCCTAGAACTTGCTTTGTAGCGCCTTCTTATTCATGCATGTTTTAGGGAAGCAGGTTCTTCCACAAGTCGCACAGAGTGTATACAGTAGAAAGCATTCATTTCCGTAGCTCTCGAAGTGAAATTAAATACATGTTTGTAGTCATGTGTCTGTCAATAACGTTGCCTACTTGATTGCCCCAATTATTTCAGCTCCCAACCTACGTCTATCTAAATATGTATTCATATATAATTCTCGTTGTTTTACTAACTTGAACTATGATAAATTATGGTTAAGCAACAATGATGGCATATATATTAGTGATTTCTTAATGTGATAAATTGTCGCATAGGGATTGTAGCAAGACATAATTATCTATTAGATGGTTTCCAATTTCTCTGGTCTGTGTTATATTCGGCACGGGAATTAAGGTTTAGTGCATGGCACTAGCCTCTTAGAGACGGTGATTACGTATGTTCTCTCTTTCCGCTTCCAGTTTTGTTTGAAGCAGTCATGTACCATGGTGCCACGATTTCAAGTTTGCAGGGGATTTAAAAGGGGCGCATATTCGCTTCAGGGATTGTACCCCTATTAGCGCCCATCTAGACAGGGTAAATAATAACTGTCCTGGATTTCAAGGTCTAAACTGCAGTCTCTTATGGATGGCAAAAGTAAAATTATTAAAACGACTGATGTTAGATCCCTGTACATATAGATTTGATTGGTTTGGTCTTTGTTCAGGCCCATGTCTAGTTCGTCGACTAGTTTTGCAGGCAGGGGTACTATCCAACGACATTCCGTGAAAGTCAAAATTAATGGGGACGGTTTTCAACACCAAAACAAATGTACAATGGTCCTCATTACCATTGAAAATTAAAAAAAATCAATCGATATTCTCTAGAAATACACATCTATTTCAAAAATAATTGTTCTGTATTAAAAAAGTATACATCGAAGCCCTCAGTATGGCTCGCGAGTGAAATGAAAGCGTACTACATGTTTTGAAATAGTCTGCTCCATCCTAATACTTCGTGTAGTTTAATAGTCGTAGACTCAAATTAGATGTAATTATAATACTTCGTGTACCCCCCATTTTCCTTTATCACCGCTATACATCTTTCGTCCATAATAACCTTACTTAACGGAGGCTTCTCTCGGGCAATGCGTCTGCTGTAACCTATTTTATTGAGGGCATTAAAGATTAAACCTTTACTGCCTCCCAGTGGCTGGAAGGTCCCATTGCTAGTTCCAAATAGCACATCTATCAATTTTCAGGGGATTCCCGGACGAAAGCCTCAAGCTCATCAACTTGTTCCGCGCTTAATTTAGATAAGTATCTTTTGCGAGGCTTAGGATTCTCTGTCTCTCGAGCGCACACAAGTTGTACTTGCCTTCTTGCGGAGCTAAGTTCGCCGGATATATGTTATAATGTCAAGTCAAGTCTTCTTAATGTTCTTATTTCAAACCATTGATCGCAAGTTAGATTCTTGCGAACTTTGGTCTCTGAGGCAGAGTTTTCGAGAGACATTGTTTGCTAGAATAGAGGATGAATAGATAGTGGTGTTAAGATTCAATGACTGTGTAAGTAAGTTGCCCAAAGATGTTGTTCAAAATGTGTTTTTCTAACCGAGTGTCAAAAGAAGACGACTGGATCATACTTCATGGCGAGCGGGGTAAGGAGGAGAGACATACTAACCTATTACGAGCTAGCCCAACTGCGCCTATAGGGATAATCCCTGAAACATCACAGTTTCGAGGTTAACATTTTGTATCCCAGATACACTGTACTAGGTTCGATAATTAGTTGTCCCGACCGACTGGTGTTTGGCGAATGGACATTGCGTATACCCTGTGCTAGTGCTGTTTACTGCTGTAAATAGGATATCCCGCACGGGCTATCTATTGGGATTAAAATGAGTCTAGTACCTGGAACTAGGAGAATAGGCGAATTGACATCCTTTTATCCTCCATGATTGCATAAGCTTCACTCTACCAATAAGTCCACGAACTGAGTAGTGGGTTATACTTAAATAACTTGTGCACCTACGAGCCCGATCACTTATATTGTCACTGTTGATGGGAAAAACTGCTGTGCATAGTCGTTCAACGCTAGGACAGGTTGTTGCGTAGCCATGCGATTTATTTAAATAAAAACGCTAACAATTTGTCTTATTCATTAGAACTGATGACAGCCATTAGTATCACATTTTGAGGAAAGGACGATCAGCACGGGACGTGCTTTTGTACAGCGGTGAGGAAGCGGCTCTACCGCAATGAATAAATTTGCGGCATGTGGTGGCAGGGTCACACGACTGTCAAATACTGGAGTCAAGAGGTGCATTGGCGCGCAAATAAATATTAGCTTTCTGTTTTTTTGGTGGTCGGATCAATAGGACGGGACGAGGCGCATAGGTTCTCCTCGACCGGCCCTACATTTTCATTACTAATTGAAATAATGAGCCGATCCAAAATCTCGACAGGCTTTAAATATTAACTTCGAATACAATTTTCGACTCATTACACATTCGCTTTGAATTTGGCACTCTACACAACCCACAGAGACTCGTGTTCGCAAGGTGAGTTTGAATCAAATAAAAAATTTAATATATCATCTGATCCTTGTTCTCAAGGTTACCCAGAACTCAAACAGTGCGTAGGGTCACTCCAGGTTTCGCCGCCCTGGGAATCCACCGCAGACGCGTCTAGACAATTTTTCATCTTCAGCTGTGGCGACCACTCGGACTTTGCTACCATGACAAAGCGAACTGTTCTTTTTCGCTTAAAGATGATTTGGGCTAGACTAGTCCATTAGAATTTTCGCTACTAGTTGGGCACAATTAAGACAAACTCCCTCACATGGCTACGATGGTACAATTTGAATGGGACATAGCTATATTTCTCCACTCTCCCTGCGATAATCTGCTACCAAATGACCACCATGAGTCGAGAAATGAACAGACACGTATGATAACGCTTATTAGCAGCTGCATGTTGTAGGCAGATGCCTAAATTAAATTTAAGTGAGGCGCGCTTAAACTTGCCTCACTAGCGCTTCAAACTGAATCCCGGGATTGACGATTTCGCCAGTAAGCTCGTACTTTGAATTCCTTTTGATTTGATCGGATCCCGCATCTAAAAACCATCTCACGCCAGTCATCTCGCCGATCAGTTGACGCCGTTGTCTCCGGAGAATAGCGCAGTCATGGAGAGTTTCATTCCACGTACATGCGTCCTGCGGATTCAGGTCATATCGGAAGGTAGCTCCAATACCGACCTTGATCCTACCCCACACTATCTATGACCCGCCTTGGCATGTTGGGCGGAGCCCGGGGCCAGATTTATTTTTCTTTAGTTTTGCTCGATTAGCCATAAGGGCAGCAATAGTGTACAGATGATATCCAGGGTGTGGGCGGCAAATTAGCTCTCTACAACCATGAATACATAGCATAGTATATGGCAACAAAAAGTAAGAGATGAAATGTTAGTGCCATGAGACTGGACAAAACCGAAAAATGGTAAACTTTGAAACCAATGAATATTTCCAACGCTCTACAGCCTAAGATTTCTCTTTGAATCTAGCGGTTACCTCTACGTCAAACGGAGCTGAGTTATACTGATAATGTTCAAAATTGTCCGATTTGTCTTGTGCGCGACTTTCATCCATAAAATCACATCTGCTCACAATGCTGAATGCTGGCGTGACACACCATGTTCAGGCTTGCCAACGACTGCATTTCCCGGAGCTTGGGATAAATTTAACTATTCTCCAGCTAGCCGCATAGTATCTCCGACTAAGATTCTTTCAAAATCTGGCACATATATGGCAACATTTCCCGCGAATGTGGAACTTCAAGGAAATGGCTCTCAATTTATATACGATTTTGAGAAAGAGATTTCTGGCATTGTTACCATAGCTTACAGCTCTAATGGCTCGGCACGCCTTGGCTTAGCCTTCAGTGAGGCTAAAAATTGGACCGGCGAATGGTCGGATGATACAAATGGCTCTTTCAACCCAGACGGAGCTTTATACGCAAATGTGACGGCTACTAAAAGCGAAAAATACGAGATGCCGCTCGAAAAGCTCCGTGGAGGATTTCGTTACTTGACTTTATTTGAGGAGAGTAAATCAGATGTACAAATTCATATACTCAATGTTACAGTAGAAATATCCTTTCAACCAGATTGGCCAAATTTGAGGGCTTATAAAGGCTACTTCTCTTGTAGCGACGATTTGCTCACCAAGATTTGGTACTCGGGTGCATACACTTTACAAACAAACGCCATTCCTCCAAGCACTGGTAGAGAATTTCCGATCCTAGGATCTAGCTGGTTGAACGACGGTGATTTATCTTTGGGGGTGCAAGGCTCGACCGTCTATGTTGATGGGAGTAAGCGAGACCGGACTATATGGCCTGGAGACTTGGGAGTTGCAGTTCCAAGCATACTTGTCAGCACCGGCGACTGGGATGGGGTCCGTACAACTCTTAATGTTTTATACGCAGGCCAGGTAGGCATTTCATTATCATCCTATATCAACTTCTAAAATGATATTTTTAGGCGAATAGTGGTGAACTTCCCTTTGCTGGACCTCGGATTAATATATACGGCTCTGACACTTACCATATGGCGACACTTCTAGGTACTTATGATTATTTTCTTTGGACCAATGATATTAGGTGGATTGTATCGATCTATGAAAACAAGTTCAAAAAGGCAGTTACATTCATCAGCGATAAGATTGACTATACAGGCATGCTCAATGTCACCGGAACTGAGGACTGGGGAAGGCTGAAGCAAGGCGGTCACAACACTGAAGCCAACATTTTACTCTACAATGTACTGATGAAAGGAGCTCAAATTGCAAATTGGATGGACGACTCAGAGCAAGGTGATATATGGATTCAACTTGCTAATACTCTGCGCGTTTCAGTAAATACTAACAATATGAATTATACCTATGGGTAACTGATTTACTCCTTGCTTTGAAACTTCTAACAGTTACATCAGGGCATATCAAGATGATGATGTGGAATCTTCTCTCTATCCTCAAGATGCCAATTCTCTCGCACTCCTCTATGAATTCTCCAATCCAGAGGATACACCCCACATTTCAAATGCCCTAACCCATAATTGGATAAGTATCGGCTCCCTCGCGCCTGAGCTTCCAAATAATCTAGTTGGATTTGGGCAATCACTCGAAGTCAAGGGCCACTTAGTTGCACATCAGGCTAGTCGCGCACTGGAACTTGTTCGCCGCGCCTGGGGCTGGTATTTATCTAACCCATACGGTACTGGCAGTACATGCATTGAAGGCTATCGGGCTGATGGAAGCTTTGGCTATCGGGCTGAGAGAGGATATGGCAATGATTACTCATATACAAGCCACGCACATGGATGGTCAACAGGTCCGACCGACGCACTGACTAGCTATATTGTGGGTCTCACAGTTACTGCCCCAGGCGGAATGCAATGGGCCTTAGCACCTCAATTCGCAGATCTTTCCCACGCCGAAGCTGGCTTCACGACACCTACAGGAAAATTCAGCGCCAAATGGAACTTGAATGATGATGGTTATAGTTTAAGTTGGGACGTACCAACCGAAACAAGCGGGATAATTAAAATTAATATGGGACCTGCAGGAATTTCCGAGCTAGTTCTTGATGGAGACGAGCAAATAGTCGATCGTCAAGAGTTGGACCCCACAACTGGCTCAATTATATTTCCTGGGGAAGGTGGAAAGCATTTCATGCAAGTAATCTATTAATTGGTCGCCTCGTTCTGTATAAATGCCAGTTTACTTTCGTTGTACTAAAATAAATACACGCTAAATTTAAGGCATATTTAGGACCTATAAAAACTTTCAAGCTTTGCAGCACTTCACAAAATAGTCTTGGGTTTTTTTGGTCAAAAAATTATGTTTAAAGCGATGCTAATAAAACGGGCTACATGTTAAAATTGTTCAGTATGTGTAAAAGAAATGATGGCATATGTTTTGACAAATGATAAGCTTTGGTAAGGAAAGATGAGTTATCTCTGCGCCCTCACTGATATCCTCTTTTGTTTTCATATTATTGATTCAATAGATTTTTTAACTTCAATTTATTAATTAAGGTCTCTAACACTCTGGAAGATTTACAAGTTTCCTTAAAGATTCAATCATTATTTCTAAAATTCTTCGGCCTATTTTACAGTTGTGAAATCCATTAGGGATTTAGATTCTCGACAACATAAATTATTCATAGTACAATTTCACTCAGAATCTCGATGAGTGATTTTTTTACATGAACAATTAGAAGCAGCATGAATGACTTGAGACAATATATATTGATCAGGTCTTAAATCTATGGAATTTTATGTCTATTTGAACTTATTTATTCCTAGCTTATCTTGATGACACCAAAACTATATAGCTTCTAATCCCCCATAGCCTTAGACTCAGTAGGGACTATAATAAAAATCTAATCTATATAGCTTCTCACACGCTCCATAAACATCGATAATAGACTGGGGAGTCTTATGTTTGGGCATATTCAAGCCATAAACCCATCTAAAATCTGCCTTATCCGAAGCTTACTCTCACAGTATCTACCTCGGACGTGTGTCAACTTATTATTGGGTGGATATTTAATAGTGTCCAAGTCTTGAAGTTCTGTAACAGGTGAAACCGTGACAATGGAGTTGATACACTGAAATCTATCAAAGTTTTGCGGGTCGGAATACTACTACATCTACAGAAGTTAGTATATGGTATAATACTTTCATAAATATACTGTGGTCAACTATTGCTATTTACAATGCAAATTTGATGAAAGTTTGGGTCTAGCTCAAAAAGGGTTATCTAATTCTGGTATTCCACTGATATATAAATGATAATGAGTGCCCCAGGTCTAGATGGCATATCCAATCGATTCCTCAAAGAACGCAGAAAAACTCTCAGCAAAAACCTTACAGAGCTATTCAATGCATGCGTTTACCTGGTGTACAACCCAAAGACATTCAAAGAATCAACGACTATAGTTCTCAGAAAGTCACAAAAGCCGAGATATGACACTCCAAAGTCTTATCGACCAATAGGACTTCTCAATACAATGGGAAACCTTCTCAAGAAGTTAGTGGCCAGTCACATCTCTAAGGTCGTCGAAGACTATAACCTGCTTCCAGACGAGCAGAAGGGGGCACGATCTCAGAGAATCACTATCTCGGTAATAAAGCTCCTTATAGAACAGATCCATACCATATGGGGTAAAGACAAAGAGCAAGCTGCTTCATTTCTTAGTCTCTGTATCTTAGGAGCATTTGATAATCTCTCTCATGAAAGACTTATCTATAACCTAAAGGAAAAGGGCATCCTAAGATGGATTGTTAACTTTGTAAAATCCTTTCTAGATGATAGAGCGACTTCTGTAGTCCTCGGGTCATACAAAAGGGACCAAATCTCTACTAACACAGGTATACCTCAGGGATCAGCTCTGTCTCCGATTTTATTTCTGGCTTTTGTCAGCACCCTCTTACCATTGCTTCAAACTCCCTCTAGCTCAGCTGTAGGATTTATAAATGACACTAATATACTGACGTGGTCAAGCTCTACTGAGAAAAACTGCCAAATGTTAGAGGAAAAGCACAGCAAATGCGAGGAGTGGGCAAAAATCACGGAGTAAAATTTGTACCAGAGAAGTATCATTTGATGCATTTCACACGAGCAAGGAACAGACACAATCTAGAAGCCACCATGAGTATACAAGGACACTTAACTTCGCCGCAATCTTCTCTTCGAGTTCTCGGAGTCTTCTTCGATCCTAAACTCTATTTGGGAGTCCACATAAAGAATATCCAGCAAAAATCTTGCACCCAAGTGCAGTCAATTAGTAGACTGACACAATCAACTTGGAGAGCGACATTCATGAAGTCTAAGCTACTATATAGCTCAATAGTGAGACCAGCCATTACGCATGGGTCCTCGATATGGGTCGAGGCTGGGTCAACAGGAAAGTACTTCAAAGGATAGTGAAACCCCTTAGAAGTATTCAAAGAAAATGGTTAAAGCTTGTTTCAGGCGCCTGTAATTATACTAGTAGCAGAGTGCTAGAGCACGAATCGTCCGTCCTCCCTATAGAGATATGTCCAAAACAAGGGAGGGTCCATCACGCCGGACTATCAACTCAAGTCCCTATTCAAGAGACAATACGATTGACTCGTAAAAGGATAAAGCTGCCCGTAAACAGGAGAGAAGTTCTGCATGGCTTGAACAAGAGAAAAGATATCGCCGAATGAACAAGAATTTGCGGAAGGGAAAAGTACAAGCAGAGGCAGAAAGAAGCTGGAAAGATAGCGGCCTTTCAGGAGTGGAAGAATTCATGGACAAGCCAGAACAGGAAACAGCGCCCTGGCTGACTAGCATCAACCTATCTAGAACATTGGAAAGCAGCCAATATATTTACTGATAAATAAACGGGCAGCACCAAAATCAATTTCAAAGATACACCGTTAAAAATCCACCGTAACCTAACCAGGGCCCAAAGCAGTGTCGCTATTCAGCTAAGAAGTGAGCATATTGAACTCAATTCTTACCTGTGCAGAAGAAAAGTATCCGGATCGGAAAAGCCAAGCTCTCAATGTAAATATCCGTCACAAAATGTCAAGCACATGGTATTGGCGTGTCTACTGTGGGCAAATGAAAGAGGAGACTTTGTCCGATGAGCTAAAGACAGGCCATTTGAAGCCTTGATGAACAGCCCAAAATATGTGGCTCGAATCACACAGTGGATACTAAGAGAAGGGTAGATAAAACTGTTTCGAATTGCAGGGGAAGTCAAGGTAGCAATTTCGGATATAATAAAACGATCTGGAAGGGGGGAGGACGGAATCCACACTAGGTGAACAGTGTACTTTGCATTCCCTGAAGGTTAACTAAATAAATTGATAGCAATATAAACGGACAGGATCAGGGTGTTTCCACCAAATTGGTTTCCTCCTTTGTAAATAATGAAGATAGTCACCTGCATGGACCCATGGGGTGCCTGATCGAGTTAAATGAAATCTAAATCAAAATCAAAACGATAATGAGGCCAAAAATACACCACAATCTGCATCCATAAAATATCACGTACAATTTGGAAATAGACCAATTAAGAGTACCAAGCATACCACGTGTGTTTTACAGGGAGCCTTTTACGTGGGATGGCTCTCAATGTAGCATCAAACTTTGAAAAAAAAAATCTACGTACAATAGCTTTGTGCCAAAGTCCGCCACAAAAATGTCGTAGGGACGGCCAGAGTATATAGAGTGAACTTTCACATCTGTTAGAATTTAGAATAAATGGGGCTATCAAGTAGGCCACGTTGTTGGTAAACACGTGACTACAAATTATGTATTCAATTTCACTTCCGTATTTACTTGAATCAATGCGCTCAACAACCTCAATGACTGAGGGGTCATTAATTCCTTAATAACATCTTTTATTCTTACAACTTTTTCTTTCCCTCTCGATGGATAAGGTGTTCAGGAATAGCCGATAAAGACTTGATTCTTTATTCATTTATTCGTTTATAGTAACTAACATCGTACTCGCGCACAGCACACGAGATCCTCATGTATCGGCTACCCCAGTCTTAATAAAGTTGTTCCAGATGTTGGCACCTACGCGGACCCAAGAAAGTAGATGAAAGCTAGGATCTTATCATCCTGCACTCGAAGACTATTTTAACATGGATATCAGCCTCCCATCAAATTCTATGATTTACAAATGTTACTAAGTGAACAAAATATTTTTAGTAATTAAAGGAGGAAATAGTTCATATCGATTCATGATTTCGTTCCAATAAAACTTTTCATTTTGCCTTTTCAAAGAAATTTGTGGCATGCAACCAGAAATTGAATGCGTGAACTCCCTATGCCGAAGCTAGAGTCAACGTTATGCTGGGAGTGGATTCTGTGCCCTATGGTGCTGAGCTTGATACTATCCGAGGTGGCCATAGAAAAAGTAGTCGGGGGGCTTCTCTTCTCCGCATTAGCAGGTGAGGATAGCGTCCTCGTGCTGAAACCGTGGGTGCTAATCTGCGAAATCGCCACGTCCAGACCGTTAGCTAGTAGATATCCAAGTGTGCGTCGCTCTAGAAGAGCGAGCTCGATAGTAATATTGGTGATGAATCCTATACCTAATTCTTTATATCTAGACGGCATGTCTTCAGCCCAGTAGAGTGTGATGGTGGCTTCATATTAGACCTGAATTTCCTCCATGCCCTCGCAATTCAAAGTGCCGAGTGTGGAGCTGGAATTTCCCAGGCATCTTTGATGAGCTCATTGTTGTAATGGAAGTTGTGTAGAGTAGCTTAAACTGTTGGACATGTATTTAATATCACCTAGTGAAGCGAGTTGAGAGATTGGAGAGTCTGAGAACTACATTGGAGAGTTGACTAAACCCACTTAGTATCAGTGCGCTATTTAGACTAATTTCTACAACTAGGTGAAGAACACAATTCAATTGTTCATGCTAGATAATTGGGAGCCTGGTCAATGTATGAGTCGTCATGAGTGAGTGAGTGAGTGTTTATTGTCCTAAAAAGTCTATAACTATGTAAGGACATGTAGGTCCTTTCTGCCTACAGGCCGGGAGTATCTATGCCTCGGGTAGTGTACTCCCTCCTATGCCTCTTTCACGACTTCTTTCCAGCAGTAATACCCCCACAGGTCTTCATTCGAGTACACACTAAGAGGAGCCGTTATCCCGTCATTATCTCCCCTCTCCAGCCAACTAAACGATGGCCATTTGCGGGTGTGTAGCCGCAGGGAAAAGTCTCAAAAACCGCTGGGCACGGTGCTCTTCTATTGCGAAGAGGCTAGCCACCCGGGCGCAGTAGACCTGTGTATACCTAAGATTGTCTCTCAACCTTCCTAGCCTCCTCCTTACTCCTCTCCTGATTCATACCGCAGGACAAATCGTAGGTCGTGAAAGGATGTCAGAAAAGTTTTGGTCGAGAGTGACAGTAGTGAAGGAGCCTAGCCTAGCATCCAAAAGTCGTTACGGACGTGGGGTCGTCGAGTAACTCATGTATTTCAGATGCCCTCCTGGCTAGTAGATTCGGAAGTTATGATTAGTAGGGACGATAATATAGACGAGTCGAAATCTGCTTTTCTTGAGGGCGGAAGGGTCTTTTACTTTGCTTTCGTATGCTTTTTGTTCGCCCGTCGGTGGGTAGCACATGTTGTGATTTAATGAAGACTTCTCTGACTACCGTTATAGCATTTGGTACCGCATTATCTTTCCTCATTACCAGCATCATTATCATCGTCTTGGTCGTCTTGTGTGTTATCGGATGCGTATCTTTGACGGGGGGGGGGAGATAACTTAGCTCAAAGTTGATAAGGTGTCACTCATTCTCGGCTCTGCAGACTCTACAGTGAGAGCTGGAGGTTCGTAGGGGACACCACTGACAGGTGTTGAGAATAGCCCCCCTGAGTCGTCATGAGTGTGGGTAGTAATACTAGAACCTTATTACGTTCCATGTTAAAGCGACTCTTCATTACCAAGTAGCACCAATTTCAACAGTACTACATTGTGATTGTGCTTCCAGAAAGATAAATTACAAATTCAAGAAATAAACCAGAATGGTAGCGAAGTTTTCACTGAGAGGTTTCCTCCTATGCAAATATAGATAGGTTTATAGCCACCTGCATGAGTCTATAGGGCGCCAAATCAGGTTACTAAAGTCAATTCAAAAATATATTAACTCATTATTCATTCATTACTCCAGTTAAACGTCCTATTCGGTATTATTAATTCATTTTTTTGTCTCGTCTAAGTTTTTGACCCTGTAGGACATGCAGGTCCTCTCTGCCTATAGGCCATGGGTACCTATACCAGTAGTATATCCCCTCCTATGCCTCCCATATAGCTCCCCTCAGACAGTGCCATCCCTCACAAGCCCTCATTCAATCATATACTCAGAGGAGCCTTTTGCCCTTCATTATCTCCCCTCTCCAGCCAACGAAACGATGGCCATTTGCGGGTGTATGGCAGCCGGGAAAAATCGCAAAAACCACTGGGTGCGGAGCTCTCCTAATACCGACATTAGGACTAAATCCGAAGACATAGTAACCCTTCTGATGCGTTCTAAGAGGCCGGCTAGCTGGGCGCTGTAGACTTGTGGATACCTCGGAGAATTCACGCTCTGCCTTTCTAGCCTCCTTCCAACTCTTTCCCGAAGGTCGTGCTGAAATGTTAGAAAAGTCTTGACAGAGCGTGATTGCTGTATAGCAGCTTAGCCCAATTTCTTTTGTACCGTCCGAGGCTCTGGGGAGAGCCTCAGGGCATGACCCTGAACATCTATTGGAAAACATTAAATTACCACATTTGAACATTGAAATAGTAGCCAGAAATTAGTTAGTAGATTCTAGATGTCCTTCATAGTCTGAGACTCAGAAGGGACTATAATAAACTTCTGATCTAATCTGGGGAGCGCCGTTGACTCATCGATAAAAGAAGTACTCCTGGCTAATTTATCGAAATCTCGGTCTTGGCGCCCACAAACGTTCCAAAGAAAACTCCTCGAAAATATCTGTCCCAGCATGGTCTTCAGATACTTCATCACCCTCTCGCTCCACACCTCAGCTGCCTGTCCTTACTAAGGAAGTATAACCCCATTAGAGCAACAGTCCCACATAAAGCATGAGTCGAACTTTGTTTGTTATGACTTGATTTCCTCTTTGCAGATGTACGTAGCGTCTTAATTTGTTGTTAGTGATGCGGTAATGAATGAGGCATGCTCCTGTATGCAATTGGTGTGACGCCTTTATCGCTCGTTGAGGCGAGATGATATGTGGTTAGATTGAGGTTGAGGACTCAGAGGAGAATCTTAAGTGCTGCATGATTGAGAAGACGTCAAATGGAGATATGCATGTGTTTGCTTTCGATCTCGAATCGGATGCGATTCTTCTTGGCTATCCCAGGTATGTAGAGCTTAGTGAGCGATTACACCAGCACCTCTTGAAGGTGAAGAATTCGTCATTGTCGGCTGAGCCACAGAATTGAATGGAAAAGTAATATAGTTACGTACCTACAGAGTCTAGGGTTATGATGGGCTGGTTTAGGCCATATAAAGTATGACTAAAGTGGTGTTCTCTGGTACAGTTTGAGTAGCCTGGGCACCTACTCCACCTGGGAAGGAAACATCTCAGACCACATTTCGTGCGGTGAAAGGTTAGTGGATGAAGGAGGCATGTCTGGATAACTCAGGGTACTCGAGAAATTCCCCTGGGTGGGTATTCACGGATGAGGGCTGACTTGGGGTGAAGAAAAAGCCGCCATAACTTCGCAGTGGTACTTGCAAATGAAATCCGAGGAATAAGTGCTCCTCTTGTAAATTGAGTCATCTTTTCTATACTTTTCTATGATGTTGTGTCATAGCTAGATAGCTGCATACGCGATTAAAATCTGATGCAAAAAAAAAAAGTATGACTAAAGAAGACTGATAAGCGAGATGTGTTGTAGCGGTAGTGTCAGATCGCATTTTATCACCCACATCACGTATGTTGTTCGATAATCACTAAATGGCGCAGGGAATATTCAAATCTAAACCAGCGAAGGCTACCACAACTTCAAGCCGGCGTCCCAATGTCTTAGGTCCTAAAAAAGGAGCGCGCACTATTGTGCCGCGCAAGCCTGGTCTCGTGCGGCAAAACAAGTTGACTAAGGTGCATTACACGGACTTGATGAAGTTGGTTCAGGTACTGGAAGCTGATTAGATTTGGTGATAGAAATACTCAGCTGGCCTTACCGCTTCAACAGAGAGAACACTTGGTGCGCGCGTTGGACATCTCGAGCTCCTTGGCGGCGGCAAGGGAAAGAAGACACGCAATCAGAAAGAGAACCCAGGGAAGAAGTTGACACAATCCAAGGACGCCACCAAAAACTCATGATATCGATATCCAATTAGAATGAAGGGGTCATAACTTTGACGATTTGAGATGACAACTAAGACTAAGCCTTGGTCAGAGAGTCACAAAGCAAGATAATCAATCCTAATTTATTTGTCCTATATGACAAATAATTATTTGCGCTTGAAAAAATTTTACCGCAGCCAAAATTAGTTGACCGGCCTGTACTGAAGTCAATAATTAAGCTTACCATATATCAAAGGGAAGTATGGCCCAAGACTATAAAGTTAATTTATCATCAGAAATCAACGATAATTTCTTCATTTTACTGTCTCATCACTGTTCAATACAGCACCATTTTATATGCACCATATCTTTATGGGAAACCCAGGTTACATTATTTGTCAGTAGGTAGTGAAATAATGGATCTCTGAGTGTGTAAATCTGATAGCCAGAATTTCGGAGCTTATGAAAACGTTAGAAATCTGGAGCCAAATACTTGACCTTTGACATACACATATTGAAGGTCTATTGCCTGCTCTAAGTAAAATATAATTAAATCTTGCGCTAAGGATCGAAGTTCTCAGCCGTCCTGCAAACTTCTTTTTATGTTATCTAATGTGTATTCAGCAAGCAACCTATCATAATCTATCACTGTCTTGTATATATGTGAGATGACTTTTCGTCTCCATAGACACTCATGCTCTGGATTTCATCCGCAAATTCTACGAGATAGTCTTTCGTACGCCAATCAGAGGACCCTTCACAAGTATTCCCCAAAGGCAGATTCAGAATAAATGGTTATTCAAGCAGCTCTTCATTATCAATGCACACGAGCACCGCAACGAGATAGTTGGAGTTTTGCTGGACTCGAACCAGCTATCTCCTATCTCAAGTGGGCTAGGTACTCAAGCTGGACAGACTCTACTTATGATACCAGTCTAGATTATTTGCAACTGCACTATGGAGGTATGAAAATAGTTGTAGTATCGCCTGCACTCTCTCAATCGAAGTCTTGGCGCGCACAATGCTCTTCAATATGTAAGACTCCTAGCCAAAATTCCAAATACAACAACGTCAGAGATAGTTTCCATCCTTAGAGTCATTTCTTCGAACTTTCCTGATATTAATCATATCTATTCCAATGATCTAACTTGCATTTTATGTGTCAAAACTCCCTTTCTTTCTGCGAGTATAAATAAGGCGTGACCGTTTATCTCGTAACGAGCTGATACCAGAGAAAGTCTACGAGGGGTATGGTCATTGAAATTAAGATGTACTAAGTCGTACCTGTGTTTAGGGGAGTATTCGAATCGAAATCCTTTTACCCTTCATGTTTGCATAACCTTCCCTCCAACAAGTCCACAGAATAAGTAGTGGTTCATATTTCAATGGGAACACTGTTTAGTAAGTGGGGGGTGGACGTAGTTCTTCGAGTAAGCCTAAGAATATGTCAACAGTAAATTAGCGATCAAATAATTGTTCCAAAATATCAGGAGGGTACTTTGGCGAAGTGGTTAAAGTGGTACCATGCTATAGACAGGCATTACCCTCGGGAGCTGGTGTTCGAATCACCCAGATGCAAGCTGAAAATAAATACTTTTATCTAATGTGGCAACGACTGCCTCTGTGAATCATATCCACTCTAAAGCATGTCAAGAATCGGCGAGCTACACTTGAAGGTTGATTTACAAACCCTACTACCTAATATAAATTGAATTTTGAATCAACGCGCCATTGAAATATTCGTGGAATTAGTTTCCGTCAACAATTAAGAGTTATATCTTTCTACGTACGACTCATCGGCAAGAGTAGGACCGACATACTGATAGGGAGTGGCTAAATCTTGACTATGAAAGAATATTGCTCTCTGAGGTTCTATCTAGGGGTAACATTTCACCTACTCATGTAAACTAAGCTAGACAGGTCACATGACCTTCATAGCAGTACATAGATTTCATCTTTTTTTTTTTTTTTTTTGCATTAGATTTCATCTGTAGCTATAGGGTTCTTTAGAGCTTCGCCCGCCCTGATAAAACTAGACTCCGAGCTATCCGAAGCGAGTGCCTAAAGGCCTGGACCGCACTACACCCTCCAATCTCTCCCCAGGCCGCTGCGAGCTCCGGGAACTATCAGGTTCCCACCCAACCCACAAGAATCGCCTCCCCCTCTCCTCCACAAATTGGACAAGAGTCACGATACTCCGCCCTGATGACCATAGAGGAATCATTATGATGATTCGGGGCCGGACGCACAAATCCCAATCAATCAACGGTTTGTGCATATTCCAGGTAAATGTGGGTAAGCGGAGCCCGGCACACGACTCCGCCCTCGAACTTGCCTCTAAAAGCGGAGCAGATCTAGTACTAATTCAAGAACCCTGGATAAGTACTGATCTCTCGCGCAAATTAACTAAAAATCACCCAGAGTACATTTCTTTCTGTTATAGTTATGAGCTTGCGGAAGATATCTTGATAGACAAATAAAGGTGACTGGCGATGTACAAGGAGAACGAATATGTGAGATGGGAGCAATGAGCTAATGTGTGCAGACTTAGTTTTCTATCTAATTGAATGTGTGGGTTCTCTACATTCTATGTACATGGGTCGGCTAATTTACTAAGCTAGCTCCTGACAAATCCCTTGGCACACCATAACACTTTCTCTCCCCTTCCAATCTGGACCAGCCGGCCTCGCGTAATGACCTACACTCGCAAGGGGTGCGGCCTTTCACCTTTCCAACCCAGTATTCACTCACGCGACCTTCTTCGGATTTGCGTCTCTCGACGCGGAAAGCGTACCATTGACTGCTGGAATATATACAATGCTCCAGTAGGCGCGGTTGGCGCTGGGGATGGCCTTCAGCTTCTTCTCAACCTTTCTGATACCCCAGACGTTTTAGCTGGTGACTTCAATATCCACCACTCGGCCTGGGACTCAGCAGCATATAACGAAAATTCGGAAGGCGACTCATTACTCGAATGGACAACTGCAAGGGTAATAACGTTGTTGAATGTATACTATGCCCCCACTCATGATGCCAGCGCTACTATCGATCTTTGCTTCGCACGACATAGTCTCAACGCATCTTGTGCTATTCGAAACGACTTGGAAGTCGGGTCTGACCACAGAACTCTACTAACTCAACTTTCAGACACAGGACCTGAAAGAGATACCTCTGGAAAACTCAGATACTCTGCTTGCAACTGGGTCACCTTCCGTAAAATTATCTCCGACAGACTAGTGGCCGCACCCTCTCCAGACCCAGAGAGAGAAGCTTCTTTCCTGGTAGATGCTCTCCAAGGTGCTCTCAACGCTACGTGTCTCAGAAAACGTACACAGGGACCGCGAAATCGATGGTGGACCAGGGACTGTACAAACACGCACAACGCACTCTGCCAAGCCAAGCGCTCGGGATCAGTGGCCATCGCTGAACGCCGCGCCTTTGGCAAGGCGGTGAAAAAAGCTAAGCGAGAAATGTGGCGCGAAAAAGTAGATCAGGTCTCTTGTCTCACAGAAGCGTATAGGGTTACAAGCTGGCATAAGAAAACATCCTGTTTTCATACCCCTCCACTCAATGGCCCAGACGGACTCGTCTTCACTCCCATGGCCAAGGCACAACTACTTCAGGGGGCTCTACTGAGTAGGCACATGGAGCATGAGGATATAGTCATGGGAATTCCAACTGTTGCAAGAAGAAGCCTCCCCTGGCCTGCACTAACTAACCAGGAAATCTTCAGATCGTGCTGCGTAGTCTCCTCGTCGTCCCCCGGACTAGACGAGATAACCGCAGAAGCGCTAAGACAAGCGTGGCCAGTTTTAGGGCCCCGAGTGACCGATTTGTTCCGTCTGTGCGACCTGCAAGGACTACACCCAAATGCCATTAAAAAGGCCAGCATAATTATTCTCCCGAAGACAGGCAACCGAAACAAAGCTCTTCCCAAGTCTTACCGACCATTTGCTTTGCTGTCGTGCCTCGGGAAGGGGCTGGAACGCCTGATGGCCCGACGTCTCTCTTTCCTTGCCCTCTCACAAAATATCCTTGCAAAGAACCAGTGCAGCGCTGTTCCTCACCGGTCAGCAACGGATCTAACCACAGCCCTCGCCTCTGACATCCAGTCTGCCTGGTTAGAGAAGAAGGTTGCAGGTATTGTAACGGTAGATGTTAAAGGTGCATTTGATGGCATCCAGCGAGGACGTCTCTGCCATAATCTCCGTACTCAAGGCTGGCCCCACAATCTTATCAAGTGGGTTGCATCATTCATGGAAAATCGCGAGGGCGTAGTCACATTGGACGGGACAACAACTCCACCCTTCGCCATAAAATACGGCCTCCCACAGGGATCACCGGTCTCACCTATTTTGTTCCTCCTGGCTATCGAGGGCATGCTGCGCCTCTCGCCAGGATGCTTCGGCTATGCTGACGATGCGGCAATTTTTGCTTCCGCACCATCTCTACCTGAATGCGCAGCTCGCCTCCAAGAAAAGCTGGACAACGTACTTGCTTGGGGAAGTCTTAACGGAATCGAGCTAGAGATATCAAAGACTGAGCTCCAATATTTCCACCGGAAAAAGGGGAAACCCTTTGAGCCAAGCCTCCGGGTAGACGGCGTCGAGATCAGGCCGAACGACCAAACTCGTTGGCTGGGAGTCCACTTTGATCGCCGCTTGAAATTTCGCCACCATATTAAGCAAGCTTGCAGTAGAGTTACGGCCGTCACAGCGCACATAAAAAGCCTCTGCAATACCGATCGAGGTATCCGACCAGCTCTAGCCAGACAGGCTTTACAAGGGGCAGCGTTTACAACCCTTTTCTACGGAGCCGAAACCTGGTTCTCAGCAAATACCTGCAAAGAAGATATTGCCCGTATTCAACGCAGGATAAACGATGCAGCCCGTGCAGCACTGCCAGTATACAAAACCACTCCAGTGGCCGCCCTTCTGCGGGAAACTGGATGGTCATCAGCTCAGGGGTGGCTCGAACGTATCCACAACCGGCTTGCAGTGCGAGTTGCCTCGTCAGATCCCCAACATCCCTTGCAA